AGTTGACAAGAGTGAAGAAGGCTTCACTCTTGTCTCTATATATACTATCTAACTAGGGGCTACGTGGCGGCATTCTATAGGACCTCTAGTATGTGTTGACTTTGTAGGACACATGCCTTGACTTATAAGGCAAGTTTTTCTACATGTGGGCCACATAATTAACTTGGCCTTCAAGCTAACAACATGTGTGGCACATGGCCAACTTGTTGATCACATTTCTAATCTAAAAAGTCAATTAAAGATACTTATAAAATCAAAGCAGCATCTATAAAGCTTTTAGGAAGCTTCCATATCAAATACTATAGAATTAACTTACTTTTATCTACTTTTACTTACTTCTACCTATTTATACATGTAATTATTGGCTTACATGTGTATGTCCGTGACAATTGGTTTGATTGGAACCTTGCTCACATGTCAAGCTTTATCTTGGTTTCCTCCATTATTTGAAAATAATTCCCCTATATTACATAATTTTGAAGAATTTGGTGAACATGATAAGGTTTGTTCTTAAACAACTAAAATTTGAAGCCTTCAACAAAGAATGTATTCTACATCAACATATGCTTCAAATTTTTAAGAATTAGCTTGTGATATAAATTGGAGAGAAGATGCATTAATGAACCAATTTCGTTGGAGATTAAGAGATGATGTCAAGAACTTATTGTTGTCAAAACTGAATCCTCAAACACTTAGTGAAGCCATTAATCAAGTTGTGAAGTGGAATAACTATTTATTTTAACAATGAGAAGATAAATGTTCTTCAATTATGCCACATGTATATATCAATTATTTTGCAACTTCTTCACTGTTCAATTTTAATGAACATTTAAAAGCAGAAGATATACAAATTGATGCAGTTTGCTTCAAACCTCTTTCTGAACAAGAAAAAAAACATCGAAGGAAACTTGGCCTATGCTTATATTGTGAAAAACCTAGCTACAAGGTACATAATTGTTTAAAGAAATGCGAGGGTACATATTGAATGAGGAGTGCAGCCACATCATCAAAAGCTTTGCAAGAAAATGAAGGTATCCAGTCACAATAGGGACTGCTTCAATCGATTCTTCACTATCTTAAACCAAAAAAGAACTTGTACTCTTTCCCAGCCCATCTCTTTGTTTTACTATATCTATAAAATTAGGAGTCACAAAACTAAAGTGTCATACATTACTTGAGTTGGAAGCCATTACATGTTTTATTGATGAAGAATTTTTTAGATCTTACAAAATCTGTACAGTTAAAAAATCCAAAGCTATATATGTAGAAGTAATAGATGGTCAATCTTTATCCTTTGGAGACTTCACTTATGAAACAATTCCATTAGAAATAACCTTTGCCAATCATTACAACCAAGTAGTATTTAACATCATTAGATCATCATGAAATTTAGTCATTTTAGAACTCTCATTCTAGTACATTTGTGAAGGTGACCAAATATGGTATTATATTTGTTGTCTATGCAAATCCATGATCAAAACCTATGGTTGCTACAATAATAATTCTAGAGGCATATAAGGATTTTGCAGATGTATTTGAAAAAAAAATGCGGACATCTTGCTAAAGCATCGTCCTTACGATTGTGCAATTGACCTTCAAGAAGGTCGTCAACCACGATTTGGACTTATCTACAATTTATCCTAAAATGAGCTTCTGACTTCAAAGGAGTATATTGATGAAAATCTAGCTAAGAATTTTATTCGACATTCCAAGTCACCAATAAGTGCTCTAATATTATTTGTGAAGAAGAAAGATGGATCTTTATGGATGTGTGTTGATTATTGCCGTCTTAATAAAATCACAATAAAGAATTGATATCCATTGTCGTTGATATCCAGACTTCTTAATCAACTTAGTCAAGCAAAGATCTTTACAAAGATTGATCTATAAGGCACATATAACTTGGTACGCATTAAAGAAGGAGATGAATGAAAGACAACATTTTACACTAGGTATGGACATTTTGAATACAATGTTATGCCTTTTGGACTTACTATTGCATTAGCCATATTCTAATACTTAATGAATGACATATTTTGCAAGCATCTTGATGACTTTGTTTTCATCTATTTGGATGATATTCTAATCTTTTCCAAGAATCCAGAAGACCACAAAAAAACATATCCGCCTTGTGTTGGAAAAGCTATGAAGTGTTGAGATATATATTTGAAAAAGTATATATTTCATGCTACAAAATTTCATGAAATACACACTTCTCCAATTTTACAGCTATATAATTGGAGAAGTGTGTATTTCATGCACCTCAAGTCAAATTTGTTGGATATATTATTTCCAACAAAGGCCTTTTTATGGATCCAAAGAAGATACAAGTAATCATTGATTGAGCAAAGCCAAAACTTGTATATGATGTGCAATGTTTTTTTGGATTTGCAAACTTCTATAAGATTTTTATTACAAATTACTTCAAGGATGGTACTCCACTTATGCAGTTGACATGCAAGGACAAGCTCGACTGAGGCCTCAAGGCAGAGAAAGCTTTTTCAAAGCTTAAAAGATGCTTTTACAACAGCTCTAATTTTGATACATTCAGATTTTAACAAGCCCTACTTTATGGAAACCAATGCCTCAAACTTTGTATTGGGAATAATCTTGTCGCAATATGGAAAAGATGGCAAACTTCACCCAATTGTTTTCCATTCTAGAAAATTCTAAGCAGCAGAAATCAACTACAAAATTAGAGATTCTTTCCAAGAATGGCGCCACTATCTTGAAGGTGCTTCTTATCAGGTGACTGTATATACAAATCACAAGAATCTTGAATATTTCATGTCAACTCAAGTCTTGAACTATTCCCAAGCCTATTAGAATATATAACAAAATCACATGATATTATAATAAATATAAAATATTAAAGCTTTAATTTTAATCTTTAAAATATATATATATACAAACTAGAAGAAATACATTTAACAAGCTAAATGATTGTCTAAGTCATTTAGCTACCAAATCATTTGTTATTACTTAAGCATTTCATGATGCATAACATTAGTTATGGAATTTTCATTTGTATTGTAGATAAAGACATCTACAATGTCTGTGGCTTGAGAAAGAGAAACATTAAACTAACCATGGTCAAATACATGGTCAAGAAGGTGCATGTCAATTGTGCCAATAATTTGTCCTTGTACTTTATTGATTATTTTTGTGGAGGCCAATTTAATTGGAAATGGACGTGGCATGAGCATAAAAGGATATATATTTCTTTAAGACGAAGTTGTAATTTAGAAAATGTTATCCACTTACTACTAAGCCATGCTAAGGATTTGAGCAACAATTAGCATGTATTTGCAATGGATTATAGTTATGATTTTCTTTGAGAATATGTAAAGAAATATATTTTTTAATATAGAAATAAACCATATAATTAAGATTTAAAAATATATATATATATATATATATATATATATATAAATAAATAATACATATATATATATATAATAAATAACTCACTTTGATAATAAATTAATTAAATAAAAAAAACACCTTTATTGGTGCATAATAAAAAATTTAATAATAAAATAATGTATTTTTTATTAAATCTAGCATAATCAATCATTTGTTTATAATGATTTTAAAGTTGGTAAGTGAGTTCAGTATAAGTATGAATGAATGGCTTCACGTGTATTAGTAATTGAATTTCAATATCCAAAACTTGAATACTATAAATATAGGGATAAAGTATTTAAATCTTTCAATTTATTGCAATGTTGTTAAAGATCTTTGATCTAATATATTTTAAGGATAATAGAATGATATACAATCTTATGAATGCTATTAAATCTAACACAAAAATATCTAGTGGTTCTTATCAATTTCTAAACCAAAGTAAAATAATCCAACATCATTAACTTATATTTGTAAAATCTAATTATGTTGTTAAATATGTATTATTGGTTCTAATACTAATTTATAAAAAACTATTATTCTAGAGATTTCTTAATATTTGTAATTATGTCACTACTAAAGAATTTGTTTAAAAATTGTAAAAACATCATAATCTTTCTTTAATTAGAGAAAGATTATGATGTTTAAAGATAGAAACATCATAATTAGAAAAAGATTATGATGTTTAAAGATAGAAACATCATAATTAGAAAAAGATTATGATGTTTAAAGATAGAAACATCATAATCTTTCTTTAATTAATTAATGATTTATTAATATCCAAAAGTTTTTGTACTATACTTAAATAGTATTATTAAAATAATTAATGACTTAAGAATTAATCAATTAACTGTTATTATGTATTATTGTTGATAAAATAAGATTTACTTATTACCAACAACATAAAGTGATAGTTTTTATTGTGTTCTATTTTCAATGTTAACATTTGAAACTTCAACCATTTAATAGTTTTAATGATTGGAAACATGAGCTTGATATATTATTTTGTATTGTTTAGAAAGGCTAGATTTACTATATGTGTACAATATAGAATAAAATATTCCACATAGAAAAACTCATGAGTCATAAGTTACTCATGAATGCTTCATTTTTGCAAGAAATAAGAAGTAATTGTTAAAACTGCATGGAACATTTCTTGTCCGATTCCTAATAACATTTTTTTAAAATGAGAATTTTTGAGAATTTTATAAATTCAAGCAGGAAGACTCATAATCATAGCTAATTAGAAGTTATAGTTGTAAAAGGTTCTTTCAAAGAGGGTCCTGTTTGAAAATGACTCATTTGAAGACAGTCAACCAGAAAATCACTCTAGGTGATACATTTCTATTATTTCTAACACGATAAACTAGTACAAAATATGCCGTTCTGAACGAGACATTTACATGACAAGATAAATAAAAAAATTATCAACAGATTCTTTAAAAGAAAAAACCAAGTAACTGTTGTTTTCTTGAACGGAGACTTACCTCATAAATGTTATACAAAAATTAAACCGAGGTTCTTCAAGTTGATGCACAAAACTGAACCGAACATCCACAGATAAATTCATCCATACAGCCACAGGAAGACCAGTATAACTTGAAACTAGATAGCTCCACGGAAGAAAGCTGCTGAAGCCAGTTTTAGCTTTGCACATTCAATGTGCGTCACAACTTCGAAAATTGCGGAGTACATATATCAAGAATGAAAAAATTAAAAATGTTTGACCCTACATTGTCTTGGTGCCCATGAGCTACAACTTAAGTGGCATCTGAACTAGCGGACAAACTTCAACATTCAACTACCCACCCTCTGAACATGACTGCACAAAACCATGTACATAAGTCAAGGCCTCATTAGATAATAAGAGATAATCGATACGCACCCTCCCCAACCAAAGCTGCCCAATCTACAACTACTAAATGAATACAGTAAGGTTCAACAAATCCTACGGCAAAAGAAGTCTATTTCAAATGACAAATTTCACCTCAATACTTTGAGGTCTGTTTAGAATACTTCCTTCTGACTAACCAAGAAATCATAATGCTACAGAATGATTACTGCCTTGAATCAAGTTGCAGACAAATACGCAGCCATTGGGACATGACACCACAATCCATGTATTACGCAGGTAGCAGGGTTTACTTTACTAGGAGCACCATATGATGCTTTCCGGTCGTCATGTGGTATCTGCGACAAATATCTCTACAAGAAGTAAGGAACTCCTGCTCGAGGTGCCATCATAGCCTGGTTCTCCTCGGTCTCAGTAAAAAATTTCACATCTCTCTCCTGCGATGTCAGAATCACATCAGTAACAATATCAGAAGTCAACTTGATTAATGTCAGTTGACATGCATGTGATATGTACGTCGCATTGCAAAGGAACATTAAATCCTAACAACAAGAATGATAGCGTTGGATATCATGACCAGAACGTCAAAGATATGAAACCTACCATATTTTCGTTGAAGCTTAAGATTGAAGCAACATTTCCACATCTGTAGCAATAGTTTGGAGCGGACCACACCTGAAACAGATGAAACAAGTCACGAGGTTTCAGTCAGATTGTTTTAAAGCAGAATAATAAAAATAATGTTGAAACAACGTTGCTGTTTCCAATGTGACACCCAGGATTCTACCTTGTAGAAGATATCTCTTGAACGGCTATATTCCAATCAGCTCAGCTCGAACAATTCAATCATAGAACAATAATGGGCAGAAAAAAAAAATGGTATATACCGTGACAAGTCCTTTGTCAGGAAACATGTACTTCAATCCCTCTTGAACTAATTGATGCGCACGGCATACAAGCTCCAATCCGTTTATGTGATTGAACTGCAATACTACCCACATCAGAGCAACATAGACACGAAACTTAAACTAAATATCTAAAGCAGAGGGTTTACACAATACGAACACATACACTAGCATTAGACAAGCCTCCGCTTAAATAGAGCACTCAAAGTGCAACGGAAAGCCAAGAAATTCCAACTCATAACTACTCCTCCCTGGAGGCAGAATTAAGTTCACGTTTAGAGAGCATGCCTCAGAGGTAACGCGTGCACCAAAAAGCCACCCAGCACCTCGTGGGCTAACAGCCCAAGTTTCGATATCCTCAGGATCACTCCACATCAAGTCACAGAATGGCCCTTCATGAGGAATCTCACACTGCCTCTCTATCACCCTAATCTGCACACATTATGAGAAAGTGAAACTTTTCAAATTCATCCATAATGAAGCAAGACAAAATCCACGAATTAAAAGATTGACTAGACTCAGCACATTGTAGTACCGCAGAGCTCATGTGCAACGTTCCACCTAGAAAAGAAGACCATCTTTTCTACAAAAGACGATACTTGACCACCTTACGAATTATTAGAGGTTCTAGTTCACGTCGAAGAAACACCTAAATTTACAAAAGATTTCTCATAAAATCAGAAACCAATATATTAAATTACCACATTCCAGAGAAGATAACGCTTACCTGATCAATTGTCCGAATGTCTGGAGACAGACCTCCATGAACACACAACACCTGGAACCAGATGATGTTCAGATCTCAGCATTCATTACACAGGAAGAATAACAAGTCAAACTTAACTACATCGCTACAGACTCAAACTCTTAAAAGCCTTGGTATATGTCCCTAGTATATGTTCTAAAAGCCTTCCATGGTTAAAATTAACAAAAACTCCACTAAAACCTCGTGCACTTACATAGTTCTGGTCAAACTTCCCCAGTCTGCATCACTGATCAAATTAATCCTCAACCATGATGACATCTACTGATAGACTCTTCTCAAAACATAAAGTTAAACAGACATACAAGCAATATTTAACCACGTAAGTTTCCCCCTTACCCTTCCATCTATTATGGCTGAGAGTGTAAGGTAGTCAAAAACATCAGTGCAGTACCGCCAAGCATTTGGGTTTCCATACTTCCGCTGGCATTCGTCATAAAATCCATATACCTGTCAAACACACCAATTCCGTTCAAAACCAACAACATTTCATGGTCCACACAAAAAGTAATTGAATTCAGATAACTTTCACATGCATAAATATATGGCAACACTCGGCGTTGGGGACGCAACCACCAAATCTACATATTCCCAATATCTTAACACGTCCAACACTGTACGTGCACAAATTTGCATCGTACTCGGATTAATCACATAATAGTCAAGTCAATACCTGAGTTATCTGTCTACTCTCATGGTTACCCCTCAACAACGTCATATGAGCAGGGTATCTGCAAACAAAAGAAACAAACAAGAAACTGTTGAGTAATTTTTAAGCTCGAAATCATTCAATATAAATAGCTCATCCTCCCTGAAAAAATGTCAGCATGAAAAGTGAACTGACCCGTTAAAAAAAAGCAACTACACTGATGAGAACACGGGGGGGGGGGGGGGGTATATATAAAATAAAGCATGGCTGAGTACATTGATACGTTGGAAACAGTGAGCTACAGCGGCCTGGGCTGACCACCTCAGATTTAGCACGACTTTAATTTGTTAAAAATACCAGATTGTGCAAAACAGATCAAAGTAGCGGGCTAAGCGCAAATCAATAGATGAACGACGACGGTTGTACGAAAAACTGTGAAGGTGAAGAACCCAAGCAATCTCACCGTACCTTGCTTTCAGCAGCAAAAGTATTGTAAATACTTCCAAACTGTTGTAACCTCGATCCACAAAATCACCCTGCGCATTCCCACAATTGAATTGCGAACAGGTGTAAACAAAACCGTTTCCGTCGAGGCAGAAACATTAACAACTCTCAGAAACCACCTGTTTGACTTGGGTATTAGCTAACATTCTTGATAAATCTTTAAAAAAACGTATTGTTCTGGACCACAATGCCCTAACACAATCAATAGAATCTTAATATTGATAATTTCAAAGTTGCATTGTAGGCCTATACAATGGCATACTACACAAAAGCGACAGTATATGGAATTTATCAACCATAGAAAGCAATTCAATTTTATTTACTTCTAGTACATTAAAAACAACGTACTGTAAACTGGTACAGAGGTCCAAAGAAAGAAGTGTCTTCAGAGGCACGCACCATGAAGATGTAGTTTGTGCTGGGGACGTGTCCTCCAGTCTGAAAAAGCTTCATCAAGTCATGAAACTGGCCATGGATATCGCCACAAACAGTAACGGGACTGTTGACAGGCTGAACATTGGATTCCTCCACCAATATTTCTTTCACCTGCGATGAACAAAACAAAGTTTGATGAAAGTCATGAACACCGATGCCAGCGAGACCATTCGTATAACCATAAAGAAGGACTAATTTCTCAAACGCAGAGAACAGATGCTGCAGATTATGACTAAATGCTGGAGGATAACTTACGAACGAATTGATGTGCACTTTCTTCAGTTCAAAAGTGAAGAAAAGAAACGCTACTTTTTCAATTTCTACTTCGACTGTCATTCCAAAATTAATGAAGGATTCAAGTTCGACTCAGATAGACCTCCAGTAGCTGGCGTAAAGTAGAGTTCTCAACGAAAAAGGAAAAGAAATTCAGCATCATTTCAGTGAATTGAAGGCTCGATACGATATCAGACCATTTGCAGCCCTATATATATATATATATATATATATATTTTCATGTAGAAAGAAAACATGCATCCAAACTTTCCGATCCATTATTTCAATGCAGAAATTATTATTTCCGAGCCGCTGCTTGAACTAGCTGCTCAAACTAATCCAGCTCCCAATATTCTCCACAATCTAAATAACGATCGAACGTTCCAATATAAACAAATAAATATCATTAGACGAATAAAAATTGAAAATTGAAAATTAAAAACGGTGACAGGGGCACTCAATAAGGATGCGACCGCATGAACTGCCTCCACCTTACACAAGTCGTTTTGAGGTCAAACCCTAATGCCTTCAGTGAAAGTCCCGCGCCATCCAATCTCTACCGACACCTAAATGATGGAGCAGCAGATCCAAACATCACGTAGACATAACCACGCCAACACTCCACAAGTAACGAACCCCGAGCAGAGTTTCCGCACTTACATATTCACATAGTTGCTTGAGCTCGTCTTCCAAGAGGTAGTTGCCGCTCTTCACTTTCTCAAGCCACTGATCTAAGTCCATCACGTTGTGTCCAGTCCCCTTCCTTTGCGCAGCTAACAGCAACACAGGAAACAAAAACCAAACAACCACCGCCGCGCACGCTGCTTCTTCCGCGCGCAGCTAAAACCACTACGGTTTCCTCGGCCCGCTTCCTCTCTTCGTCAAACTAAGTTTGAAGCAACCCTAGCGCGCGCAAAAACAGCCTCCGGAGTCTCAAAAAGAGTTTGTTGCTCGGATCTAATTCTCTCTCGCCGTGATGGGGGGGATGTCCGGCGTAGCAGCCCGCGCTGGTCCCAGAGCATCCCAAGTGTGTTGAGCCACAACAAACTAAGATTAGCTCTACCCCATCGCTGGAATGGCTTTTCCGGAACGGAGACTTGGTCTCGCCTCCGCCATCCCTCGCAGACGAGGCCCCGACGGAAGAAGAAGCTGCTGCTTTCCCTCGCGTTCGTCCTGTCCCTCGTCGTCCTCAACCTCCGGCGGACTTTCGTCCGTCCCGCCTCCGTCGACCCCATTCCCGGTGACTACATCCTAATACCATGGAGACTTGATTCTAAACCTCAGCATTTTTTTGAGTCGGATTACATGTTTTTTTGAAGAAATGTTGTAATTTTTTCTTCAAATAAATTTATCAGGAGTAAAATTTTAATTTCAAGAAATAAAAATTCAATATACTTGGATCTTTTTTATATCATAAGAGTAAGATTCTTGCTTTGCTACAATAGTTATTGATGAAGCAAGTTATTGTATTACTAATATATATACATATATATATATATGTACTAGAATTTCTTCTGAGTACGTTTTTTTTGCTAAATAATCTAAATATCAATCAAAATAAAAAGTCAATTTCTAGAATATATCATTCTTAGGTCAATAAATAAAAATAACTTTTTGTTGTAATTATATTTTGTATTTCTATTTAATTAGTATATATCCCACCCTTGATATGTGTGGGATATATACTTAAAAAAAAAAAAAAAAAAAAAAAAAAAAACTTGTTACATTTATGTAGAGTCAGCACTTTATCACTTATTGAAAGTAGTATAAACAATTTGTAACACTTGCATGAATGATACTTATATGACTTTAGAATTAAAAACAATAAAACTTACATAAATAAAGGATAAAAATACATAAGATATGAATTTCATCATACATCTTAAGTGTAATGGAAGAATTTCTTTTATTTTGAAGTGTTCAAATGCTCTAGATAATAGGTATAACATTAGTAGGCATTTCTTCCAAATATTGTTTCAAGGTCAATAATGCACTTTTAGCATCCTTGAATCCTACTCTATCTACAATTATATCATCAATTTGAACATTATCAACTTCTTCAATGGATTCATTGTCAATTGCATCATCTCTTTCATCAAGCATACTTATAATTTCTTTTCCAATAAATATATAGAAATTGTTTAGATGAAATTATAGTTCATAATTGAAAAATTCATGTGCATTAATAGTAGGTCTGATTTCACTCTTTGCAAATGTCAATGTCAATGTTCCAATAACTTAATAATTTTATTCAATTCTTATTTTTGTATTACTTCTTGAGCTTCTCTATCTCTCATAATTGCTTCTTAAGATTCTATATGGTCACAAAGCACTAAAAAAAATATGTGTCCATTTTTAATAATTCATGATTTTTAATGAAGTAACTCCAATACACTAAATACTCTCTAATATTATCACAAATTGATACACATAAATATCTTTGCTCTTATTTTTTAAAAGAAAAACTATTTGATATTGAATTGGTTACTTATAGTTTTAACCTTCGAGTAAATAATTAATTTTTACATTCATAGATTGAAATCTACTTATAGTACTTAGAAGCAAGAATTCAAGTCTACTCAGCCACAATTGAGTATCTACATTAAGTACTTAGTGACTTCAGAAATTATGAGCCAATAGTAATAACTTTTCTTTATGTGCATCAATCATCTTCTATCCAAAATCAAGCATATATTTTTCAAATACATGTGTAGTCATCTAAGCTTTTTTATTTCTAAATTGCTTAATCTCAAGGTTATCTAATAGTAATAACTTTTCTTTATGTGCATCAATCATCTTCTATCCAAAATCAAGCATAAATTTTTCAAATACATGAGTAGTCATCTAAGCTTTTTTATTTCTAAATTACTTAATCTCAAGATTATCTAATAGTAATATCTTTTCTTTATGTGCATCAATCATCTTCTATCCAAAATCAAGCATAAATTTTTCAAATAAATGTGTAGTCATCTAAGCTTTTTTATTTCTAAATTGCTTGAACTCAAGGTTATCTAATAGTAATATCTTTTCTTTATGTGCATCAATCATCTTCTATCCAAAATCAAGCATAAAATTTTCAAATACATGTGTAGTCATCTAAGCTTTTTTATTTCTAAATTGCTGAATACCAAGGTTATCTAATAGTAATATCTTTTCTTTATGTGCATCAATCATCTTCTATCCAAAATCAAGCATAAATTTTTCAAATACATGTGTAAACAGCTAAGCTTTTTTATTTCTAAATTGATTAACCTCAAGGTTATCTAATAGTAATATCTTTTCTTTATGTGCATCAATCATCTTCCATCCAAAATCAAGCATAAATTTTTCAAATATATGTGTAGTTATCTAAGCTTCTTTATTTCTTAATTTCTTAATACCAAGGTTATCTTATAGTAATATCTTTTCTTTATATGGATCAATCATCTTCTATCTACAATCAAGCATAAATTTTTCAAATACATGTGTAGTCATCTAAGCTTTTTAATTTCTAAATTGTTTAATCTCAAGGTTATCTTATACTTATATCATTTCTTCATGTGCATCAATCATCTTCTATCCAAAATCAAGCATAAATTTTTCAAATACATGTGTAGTCATCTAAGCTTTTTTATTTCTAAATTGTTTGACCTCAAGGTTATCTAATAGTAATATCTTTTCTTTATGTGCATCAATCATCTTCCATCCAAAATCAAGCACAAATATTTTAATTATATGTGTAGTCATGTAAGCTTTTTTATTTCTAAATTATTTAATCTCAAGGTTATCTAATAGTAATATCTTTTCTTTATGTGCATCAATCATCTTCTATCTAAAACCAAGGATACATTTTTCAAATGTATGTGTAGTCATCTAAGCTTTTTTATTTCTAAATTGCTTAATCTCATGGTTAACTTAAAGTAATATCTTTTCTTTATGTGCATCAATCATCTTCCATCCAAAATCAAGCATAAATTTTTCAAATACATGTGTAGTCATTTAAGCTTTTTTATTTCTAAATTGCTGAATACCAAGGTTATCTAATAGTAATATCTTTTCTTTATGTGCATCAATCATCTTCCATCCAAAATCAAGCATAAATTTTTCAAATATATGTGTAGTCATCTAAGCTTTTTTATTTCTTAATTTCTTAATACCAAGGTTATCTTATAGTAATATCTTTTCTTTATGTGGATCAATCATCTTCTATCTACAATCAAGCATAAATTTTTCAAATACATGTGTAGTCATCTAAGCTTTTTAATTTCTAAATTGTTTAATCTCAAGGTTATCTTATACTTATATCTTTTCTTCATGTGCATCAATCATCTTCTATCCAAAATCAAGCATAAATTTTTCAAATACATGTGTAGTCATCTAAGCTTTTTTATTTCTAAATTGTTTGACCTCAAGGTTATCTAATAGTAATATCTTTTCTTTATGTGCATCAATCATCTTCTATCCAAAATCAAGCATAAATTTTTCAAATACATGTGTAAACAGCTAAGCTTTTTTATTTCTAAATTGATTAACCTCAAGGTTATCTAATAGTAATATCTTTTCTTTATGTGCATCAATCATCTTCCATCCAAAATCAAGCATAAATTTTTCAAATATATGTGTAGTTATCTAAAAGGTTAATTTCTTAAAACCAAGGATACATTTTTCAAATGTATGTGTAGTCATCTAAGCTTTTTTATTTCTAAATTGCTTAATCTCATGGTTAACTTAAAGTAATATCTTTTCTTTATGTGCATCAATCATCTTCCATCCAAAATCAAGCATAAATTTTTCAAATACATGTGTAGTCATTTAAGCTTTTTTATTTCTAAATTGCTGAATACCAAGGTTATCTAATAGTAATATCTTTTCTTTATGTGCATCAATCATCTTCCATCCAAAATCAAGCATAAATTTTTCAAATATATGTGTCGTCATCTAAGCTTTTTTATTTCTTAATTTCTTAATACCAAGGTTATCTTATAGTAATATCTTTTCTTTATGTGGATCAATCATCTTCTATCTACAATCAAGCATAAATTTTTCAAATACATGTGTAGTCATCTAAGCTTTTTAATTTCTAAATTGTTTAATCTCAAGGTTATCTTATACTTATATCTTTTCTTCATGTGCATCAATCATCTTCTATCCAAAATCAAGCATAAATTTTTCAAATACATGTGTAGTCATCTAAGCTTTTTTATTTCTAAATTGTTTGACCTCAAGGTTATCTAATAGTAATATCTTTTCTTTATGTGCATCAATCATCTTCCATCCAAAATCAAGCATAAATATTTTAATTATATGTGTAGTCATGTAAGCTTTTTTATTTCTAAATTATTTAATCTCAAGGTTATCTAATAGTAATATCTTTTCTTTATGTGCATCAATCATCTTCTATCTAAAATCAAGCATAAATTTTTCAAATGTATGTGTAGTCATTCAAGCTTTAAAATTTCTAAATTGCTTAATCTCATGGTTAACTTAAAGTAATATCTTTTCTTTATGTGCATCAATCATCTTTCATCCAAAATCAAGCATAAATTTTTCAAATACATGTGTAGTCATTTAAGCTTTTTTATTTCTAAATTGCTGAATACCAAGGTTATCTAATAGTAATATCTTTTCTTCATGTACATCAATCATCTTCTATCCAAAATCAAGCATAAATTTTTCAAATACATGTGTAGACATCTAAGCTTTTTTATTTCTAAATTGCTTAATATCAAGGTTATCTATTAGTAATACCTTTTCTTTATGTGCATCAATCATCTTCTATCCAAAATCAAGCATAAATTTTTCAAATATATGTGTAGTCATCTAAGCTTTTTTATTTCTAAATTTCTTAAGCTCAAGGTTATCTTATAGTAATATCTTTTCTTCATGTGCATCAATCATCTTCTATCCTAAATAAAGCATAAATTTTTCAAATACATGTATAGTCATCTAAGCTTTTTTATTACTAAATTGCTTAATATCAAAGTTATCTAATAGTTATATCTTTTCTTCATGTGCATCAATCATCTTCTATCCAAAATCAAGCATATATTTTTCAAATACATGTGTAGTCATCTAAGCTTTTTTATTTCTAAATTGTTTAACCTCAAGGTTATCTAATAGTAATATCTTTTCTTTATGTGCATCAATCATCTTCTATCCAAAATCAAGCATAAATATTTCAAATATATGTGTAGTCATTTAAGCTTTTTTATTTCTAGATTATTTAATCTCAAGGTTATCTAATAGTAATATCTTTTCTTTATGTGCATCAATCATCTTCTATCTAAAATTAAGGATACATTTTTCAAATGTATGTGTAGTCATCTAAGCTTTTTTATTTCTAAATTGCTTAATTTCATGGTTAACTTAAAGTAATATCTTTTCTTTGTATGCATCAATCATCTTCTATCCAAAATCAAGCTTAAATTTTTAAAATACATGTATACTCATCTAAGCTTTTTTATTTCTTAATTTCTTAATATCAAGGTTATCTAATAGTAATATCTTTTTTTTATGTGCATCAATCATCTTCTATCCAAAATCAAGCATAAAGTTTTCAAATACATGTGTAGTCATCTAAGCTTTCTATTTCTAAGTGTTTAACCTCAAGGTTATCTAATAGTAATATCTTTTCTTTATGTGCATCAATCATCTTCTATCCAAAATCAAGCATAAATTTTTCAAATACATGTGTAGTCATCTAAGTTTTTTATTTCTAAATTCTTTAACCTCAAGGTTATCTAATAGTAATATCTTTTCTTTATGTACATAAATCATCTTCTATCCAAAATCAAGCATAAATTTTTCAAATATATGTCTAGTTATCTAAGCTTTTTTATTTCTAAATTGCTTAATTTCAAGGTTATCTTATAGTAATATCTTTTCTTCATGTGCATCATTCATCTTCTAGCCAAAATCAAGCATAAATTTTTCAAATATATATCTAGTCATCTAAGCTTTTTTATTTCTAAATTACTTAATATCAAGGTTATCTAATAATAATATCTTTTCTTTATGTGCATCAATCATCTTCTATCCAAAATCAAGCATAAATTTTTCAAATACATGCGTAGTCATCTAAGCTTTTTTATTTCTAAATTGTTTAATCTCAAGGTTATCTAATAGTAATATCTTTTCTTCATGTGCATCAATCATCTTCTATCCAAAATCAAGCATAAATTTTTCAAATACATGTATAGTCATCTAAGCTTTTTTATTTCTAAATTGCTTAATCTCAAGGTTATGTAGGTTGAAAATGTCTTTGTATAAAAATGCTCAAGCCTTTATAATCCGATTGATAAGTAAAGGATTAATTTGATGGTACCATCAATATTTTTAAGTAAGTGCAACAATATTATATTCCTTATCTTTCTTCTTGCCAAAAAAAATATTTGTAGGAAGTATACAATTTGATTCAATCATATAAAATAGGCATCTCTCATCCATGTTGAATATGTCAAAAAGAATATACTAAGATATAAGAAGATTAATTTTCTCTTTTTTTTCAAGGCTTTAAGAGAAGTACTAATAGATGTATCATTTCTATGACAAGTATATTCCTTGATATGAAATTCCTTCTCAAATTTGTCCATCTATCTACATAAAATCTAAAACCCCTTTTCATCCTCACCTTTGGATATCATGCCATAAAATATCTTTACATTAGCAAGTATAAGATTATCAAACAAAATAATATTATAATCTTCTATAGAATTAAACCATGTAATAAAAGCTTGTTTTGCTTGTGGATGTTAAATTTTTTTAATGCACTTTGAGACAACTATACATTGAGTACTAATATCTTATAAAACTCTCTTCTTCAATAATCTGCAAATGTTCATATCAGAAGTTGAGACATGATAAATAGAATTAGTCCATGTAGTCGAAATTCATATTGGCAATATTTTATCAACTAGACACCAACATCTAATGATATTTGAAGATATCTTTCTTTTGTACCAAAGTAATTTTATAGCATTTTTCTATTACAGATCTAAACTTTCAATTTTTCTAAATTATCAAACTATAAAGTTGTCACAACATCATAACATTGTTAAATCCTCAAATGACATAATGTTAAAATACAAAGAGGCTAATATAAAAGAACTTGAAGTTTAAATTCCAAAGCTATTGATGGAATTTGTAGCCAATAATATTTCCATAATGTGAAATAGGTAGTGCATAATGTAGAATAGATGATATGTGAAGTTACCATGACTTATATACAATATGCTTGCAAACCAACACTTCTTTTTGATGTAAAAAGAAAGAATAATGTCTCTACATTTGAATATATGTCCTATTTAGTGAATGTATGAGAGATAATTTTTAAGTTTATTAGTAATTCCAATACTTAGCTTAATAAAATCATAATTATATTTTTTTTTATAAAATTATCTATTTTTAATAAATAAAAATAAAATAAGAAATAACTCTATTATGTATGTATATTTATTTATACACAATAAATTTTTTACTTAAATTTTAAAAAATCTTTATTTTATACAACATCATGGATATAAATACAGAACTATTATGAATTTATAAATTAAAATTTTAAAGAAATTTTAAAATATATTTTAAATTTATGTCATTATTAATATATATAATATTATATAAGTTTTTAAGTAATTTTCTTGTTTAAATAGTGACTTTAAGCTTCAAATAATTTGATCAATATAATATTCTTTTAATAGAATAATAAAAAATTAATGAAGAAGACTCACTATTTTATTTGATTTCTAGTTTGAATAACTTTTAAGAATAATTGAAGACCATATTTGATAGTTTAAGTTATAGAATGATTTATATATAATATAAAATTTTAAATGTCTATGTAAATATATTTAATTCTATAACGTGTAATAGACATATGCCAGTATAATATTTATTAAAATATAATATAAATTAATAAATAATCAATAATATTATTATAAATTTACAAGTTTAAAATATAAGATATTATAGATTAAAATTTTTAAAGACAAGTTTGCAAAAGTTTTGTTTCTTGTATTTTTTTATTTTTTTTATTTTTTTTTATAATTTGGACTGATTATTGAGTTAATAATTTAAGCATAAAAAATATTATATACATATATGATTAAGTTTAATTTTAACTATGTTGTTCTCCTTTGACCTTTAATTGCATACAAGCTTAGAATATTTTAAAAACAAATTTTAAAAAATCATATTAGAAAATAACTTAAGAATATTTTAGATCACAAAAACATTTTAATCACATTCAATTCCTTATTTTTTTGCATATTCTTTTAAAATAAATATACATATTCTAAATGTATTCAATATAGTTTGGTAGAACGTTCCTTAAATTAGAATAGTTTGTTGATGGGCAAAAGTATTGTGTAAGAAATTAGTCATCTAGGAGCAATAGATGGGAGCTACTTGTACTACCTTTGTCTAAGGATAGACTACCCTAAGTGGATAATCCTTAGCCAAATATATTCTATGTTAAATGTTAGATATATCTCTTCAACTTTATTTAATTTTCTGGTGCAAATTTGAAGTGGATGTCCAACTTGGTTTGATATGGTTCAAACCATTAATCTTTTCTTTAAATATTATATAATTTAATCCAAAAGGAAAAGGGAGAATAATAAACATAAAAATAAACACTTCTATAAGCAAATTTATTACAGTAACATAGATTAGCATCTATAACTGTATTTTTACTTCTTTACATTGATACTCCTTGGCATTTTCTGATGTTCTTCAAAAAATAACACATCTTACAAAAAAAATCAAGTCAGTTCATAAAATTCATACAATATGTTTATTATATTTTGAAAAACTCTTGAAAATATAAGTGTCTATATATATATATATATATATATATATACTTGCATATAACCCACAATACTTATTTCACATGATGTCAATTAAAAAAATTAATTGTAAATTATAAATATTAATTATATTACCTAGATCTACACAACTTTGTTATCAGTAACATTTAGTTTTTGCTACTCACCACAACAGAATTTTTGAGTGCAATTTCATAATAAAACATACTAAATTTTTAAAAAAGAAAATCATTTTCACTCTGCAGACATTTGACAACAGCAAAGTCTTAAATCACAATCTCTTTAAAAATATATCATTTACAAAAACATTACATCAAATAAAAACATACCATTGCACTTATTTTATTTTATTTTATTTTAATTCTCTAATCCAAGTTTGGGTTATTAAACATACATTTTAAGAATTTGTGATATTTTGAATACTCTCGGTGGTCATTTCAGTTTTTTTTTAAACATTGTTCAATTGTCCTATCTGTCACAAAGTGGATAGTAAAAACCAGCTTAGCAATGTTTTGAACAAGGAATCCTAAATAATTATGTGTGCAGTAGCATTAATGAAAAAAATTGGATACAATTTTTTTTTAAAAAAAATCATCAAAACTTATCTAATTCCACGGTAAAGATTTCTTAATTCCCACTTGGTTTGGTTGAGACGAAGCTGCTTGTTAGTCTTTAAATGAGATGAGTATTGATGTGTGTTATTTTATCATGGCAGATCAAATTAAATACGGAATGGGCCAATTCAATAATGTTTCCGAAAAATAGGCTGTTCTCAGCTCATTTTGATTGTGGTCATCGTTTCATAACACAAATTACAAATTATCAAGGAATTCCAAGGAAGTGAATGCTGCAAGGTCTACTTCTGTGCACCCAATGAGTATTTCAGTGCATGAATTTTGAGGTGTGGCTCAGGCTGCAAAACCACATACCTTGTTCTAGCTTAGTACAGAATTCTTCTTCTGGGTGGAAGCACATGATGTAACATTCAAATCACAACACCAATGGAAAGAGTGATACACGAGATGTTTCCTCAAAACAGGAAATCGCTGCGCAATTGTAATGAGGCAGCTGCTCTGAACTATATAAGTTAAGTTGATTAACCATGCATGTTGCTAACAAAATTAACTGTACATCTAACTTTCTGGAACGTATTATCTAAGCGTAACCAGGTTTTTCTTTGCTGCTCCCATAATCTCATCACTTTTTCCTTCAACGGAGTTTGAGAGACAATGGTTTCCGCATGTATCTTCAGAAAAACCTGTAGAATTGCTTGAATGAATTGGAAATTCTTCATCATCAACAACTCCGCCAACAGGAAATCCATGACCATGCCAATCTCCAGGAGCTCCTCAGGATGTGAGCTGGCGTCCTCATCCACAATTTGCATCATTCGAAGAGAAGCGTCCACTTCTGATGGTGATATCGTTTTCAAATGATCCACTAGAGCAGAATAGTCTCTATTCTCTGCACATGAATACAGCAATTCCAAGAAAACAGTCTGAAAGTCGACATGTTCTTGCTTTCCTGTTCGGCGGCTGATTGTCTTACTTCCTCCATCCGGCTCTATCTTGTCTGATCCATTTTCACTAGGAGCTATGTACTTATGATCACCTGAGAGCGTTGGCAGTGTAGGTAGGAAGAAAGGGGCCTTTTCTGGCTTTTTAGGAGGTGCAGTCGGTTTGTTTCGGACCTTGATGATGTCCAAGTTGACAATGCCTTTCCACTGGGTCTTGGGAATAAGAGTAAGAGTGATGAGACCTGGAACTGATGGGCGATCAACAGCAGGATTTTCACCATCGACATCCATAGTTTCAGGAACAACGGGTTCCACAGCATCTGGCACGTCAACATCTTCATCCGTTTCATCTTCCCTACTGGGACCCACAGTTGGCATTGATACAACCCTCAGACCTTCACGATTTCGTTTCGTCACTGGGGCCTCCATTCCTGAATACATTAACCTGTTTGCCCACAGGTAGATACCATTACGGTTGACATGTGCAGTAGCCAGCATGTCCATGCCAGGTGAGAGAGACAAGCCAGTGACAGCAGTACCCAATTGCATCGCATCCACCTGCTTTGCAGCTATGACGTCCCAAACACGAACGGTGAAGTCCATGGATGATGACAACAGCAACTTCCCGTCTTCACTAAAACATATGTCAGTAATACGATCGGAATGACCATGGAATTTCCGAACAAGACGCTCAGCAACCACGTCGAAGACTCGAAGCACCTTGTCATATGCCGCAACTGCTATTAGGCCATTTCCGCGGTGAGCGGCTATCTTCTCCACTGGCGATTCTACAGGCAATGTAGATTTCAATGCCAGGTTCTTAAAGTCCCACACTTTCAGTACTCCATCATAGCCTCCACTAGTAAGCAGAGTATTTGTACTGTCAGAGGCAAGTCCATTGACTGCTCCTTTGTGCGCAAGTGAATCCCCAATCCCCGGATCCTCATATAGACCTCTATGTAAACCTGACTGGAGATTGAAGCGTTCAATCATACCCCCTGCTGTGCCCAAAACTGCAATATCACCACTAGCAGCTATTGTACAACTCATGACAGGAGTTGGAGTGGTACTTGATGATTTGAGGACATGTTCACCTACCGCAAATTTCTGTAAACGCCAAGAGTAAGCCGCAGCTGCACCACTGTGACATGTCACAATATTGCACCAATCACGCTCTCTAATTTCAACTGCATCGAAGGCAATCACTGGTGGCAGCTTCAACTTCTCTTCCTTGATGTGAGCATTACGTGCCCGCTTCTGTATATGACCTTGTGAGAGCTCTCTACTCTGCTGATCCTGAATGGTGGAAAAGACCCTAAATGCCCTGTCCTGGCCAGCAGATAAAATATGGTTCCCTCTTCCATAGTACTTGATACAAGTGGGCGGCGCACTATGACCATTTCTGAACCGAAGCAATCGCCCCTCTCCATCACTCGTGTCAAAGATCCACATCTTCAAGGAGTTGTCCGCACCTGCACTAAGCAACACAGGTTCGCCAGCAAGAAATTGCAATGAACGAATCTCTGAACTGTGAGCATCCTCAACAACAGCTTGAAGTTTCCGCTTCTCTAAATTCCAGATACTAATTACTCCTGTCGAAACAGCAGCAGCCAGAAAAGGCTGCCCATCTGTCCTAAAGCTAAGCGCTGTAACAGCCCCTTTGCCTGTATGCGAGAAGGTAACAACTGTCTCATCGTATCGGAGGTTGTGGACGTATATTTTGCCGTTGGCACAACCAACACCTACTATATCCAATGCCGGAGAAGCCCTGCAGCATCGAACTGGGGAATTCCAACCCTTAAATTCATGAACCAAGCTGCAAGTCATAACGTTCCACAATTGCAGAGGTCCCTCTTCACTGCCGATAAGAACTTTGTTCAGATAGGTGTCGGGGTGCATGATGCATGTTGGCGTGAAAGATTCCCGAAACTGCCATTCCCGCACGGGCTTCACCTCTTTCTCTGCGTCAGAGTCAAAAGCTTTCCACACACAAAGTCGCCCACCCGCATCAATACTCAAAATCTGCTGCCCAAACTCCAGCAGGAGTGTAACTTTGCTTGTGTGCGCGCTCCATCGCGCCACCTGATGAGCTCGCTTGAACACAACGATGTCAAAACCTGAGGCAACGTACGTAAAATCCCGTAAGGAAACCAGAGCCTGGATCCTCTTGGGAAGCTGGGGACCAACTAAGACAAGCGTCAGCTTCGCGCAATTCAAAACTTGGAATGAGTTGCCGACACTGACGGTGACGAAATTCTCAGCTCCTCTCCGTTGCACGGAAAAAGGTGTGGCATCCGTGATGTAGCCAAGAGCCCGAAAGGGCTCAAACATGCCCACCATGTTAGTAAAATTTAACTTCAAGCCACTTTGTAATCTATCTACATCCAGCACAACGATTCCACAGCAAACAAGCGCTCAAAAATGCCTCCACAAAGACTTAGACTATATTTCATCAGCAAATTAAACACCAACAACAGCGACGACGACAACAACGACAGTGATGAACCGAAAGGGCAGCGGCGGTTTGAGCATCGGAACACCCTCTCCAAGCTCCTCCTTCGTGGATTAGGGTTTTAGAGGACCTTCAGGGTTTAAGAATTTAGGGCATAAAACTTGCCGGGTCGCGTATCCCCACCGGAGACTGGGCCTGTAAACCTCCAGAACGTTAATCCTGGGATAGTGCTTAGCAAATGTGAACTTCTTGTCTTGATTGTACCACTTGTATGATAATAGAAGAAACCGATGTTGCTGCTTCAATGTCAGAAAAATATTTATATATATATATATATATATATTTATATACTCACACATGTACACATTAACTTTAGATACTTTATATTAATTTAGATTGATTACAAATGTCTCTAGAATTTGCATTACCATTATTAAAAGAAACATCAAATAACTAGCAGATGATGTAAAGTAATAAAAAAATATTTATATTAATGATTGTAAATTAAAATTAAAATTTTAATCTATGATATGTTTATATATTTATATATTAATTAAGACACCATTATTTTTTGTTGTTATTATCTAGAAGAAACTAGTTACTACAGTACAGCACGCCCAATTAATTTTTGCACTGGACCAATGAGTGCACTTCAGTAACAATCATCTGTAAACTTATGCAAATTAATGAGTTAAATGCACTTTGTAAAATCATTGTGTAGCAGAAATAAATGAAGCCAGATACATTGACCAATCATAGTAAGTTATTCTTCTTTGAATCAGTGAGTTATCTATAAAATTATATTAATTTTTTAATCTCTCAAAATGTTTTTTATCACAAAAGACCTCTTGCATAAACTGATATTATAAAATTTATATTTAACTTGAATTCAAACATAAAATAATTCTAAAAAGTTTATGAAAGATATTTGTTACTGTAGAATGGATTAAAATAAATATAAATTTCTCAAAATAATATAAATATATATTTTTGATTTGCAATTAAGTATTGACTTGAAGAACAAACATTGGTTATGTTAATTTGAGATTTTTCATACTTTTATTTTTAAAAAGTATGATTTTGAGATAAGAAAATGTTTAGTTTCTTAACAAAATAAATAAAAAATTAGAGGCACTGATAGACTATATATAATACATATGACTTATTCTATTAAATTTAAGACAATTGTGATCTAAATTTGCATATTCTATGCTTTGTTAGTATATCAATATAAATGTGCAACTAAACTAAGTTTGATATATTTTTTTAGTATTACAAAATATTTTATTTATAATAATAATAATAATAATAATTTTTAGTAACAACTTGACCATTGTAGGATTTATTAAATTCATTTGAGTAACAATAAAAAATTACTACATTAATGAACATGAAAATACATTTATAAGATAGTCACTAGAATATATATATATATATATATATATATACACATAGCAATCAATCATTCAATTTGAACTATAACTAAAAATATGCAATAAAAATGCCAATTATACCAAATAAAAATGCAACAAAATTGGTCACAATAATTTTGTTTATGTAAAATTATTAAGAGTAGCTCTCAATTGTATAATTGTAAACGCCATTTACAACCACCAATATTCCACTCTTCATTCATTCATCCATGCTCATATAAAAACAGAAAAAAAACATGCACTAGTGAGAATGAAATAGTTCATGAAACTTCTCTTAACCTCTTGCTACTAAGCCATTTATTTTGATCTCCACCTCACAACTTCCGATCACTAAAACATCTTTTGCAATCAAAAATCAACATTCCCTCATTGATCAAGGAAGAATATAAAATTTCAGTCATGAGCTTGCTCATGCCCTTGTTCACATCTTCAGTGTTCGTCTTTGACGTGAAATCTATCGGTCCTCGAAGAAGAAATGGTACAATTCATGAGTTCATTACTCTCAAATTGTGAAACTGCGATGGTGCAACGTCGCACTGAAGTGTTGAGCAAAGATGTTCGGAGAGGAGGGTCTGAGTCAACTCCAAACGCCGCCGCCGTCACAGCCGCTTGAGGACATCCCTGACAGGTTAACATCGCAAACATGATACTAGATTCCCCCAAAAAGGATGTGTACCCACTGAGCTCAAAGCACTGAACTCAAAGCTTTGATTTTACCTTTCAAATGACTTGGCTTACAAAGAAACCTAGAAATAGTACAATACAGAAACCTCGACAGGAAGAGGAAAAGAGTACACTCCGCCATCGCGTGTCTGAAATTCACATGGACGGTTTCCCCACAGTTGGACATAACTCGCTTACAATTCACTTCTACTGATTCTCTGTGCTCGCGAAAGGAGCGAACTTAAATGCTTAAGACAGAGAAGACAAGTACTCACTGATCGCGACAGAAACTGGGAGAAAAACAGGTCATTTCTCTCTTTGAGGAGCTTGCGTGTTGAAGGTTTTGCAGCATAATTTTATCGCCGTCGGTATAAATCTTTCTGTAAGGGAGTCTAGTCCCGTTACAAGCAAAGGATCAGACAGATTGACCGAAGCGAAATTCCATGCGAGGGCTGAAAGAATTGGATAGGGTAGGATGTTCATAGTTTTTGAGCATTGTCCTCCCTGGTTTGCGACTCTTTGCAATGAGCAATGGCGCCCTGGATGGCGTTGTGGAGCTCCATGCTCACGCGTCGCCCGGCGTTTGGCAGGGGGGGTTGTGGCGGCTTCTTGATCGTGCGAAGGGAAACCTTATCCTTGGCGGAGAATCGAAAGCTCTGTGAGAACGGGGGAAAGATTTTCGTGTTGGTAATAGCGGGAGAGCGAGATGCTTGAGGAGGTCTGGGAGTTACGTTTGCATGATCGACTGCAGGGGGGTTGAGTGTTGAGCTGCCATGGCTGCTGGCCCTCTTCTGCAGCACCTTCATGTATCGGTGCAAGTAGCCTTTGGCTTTCTCCATGCCGCGCTGGTAGCTGTACTTGTCCTGCTCGACGCCATCTCCGTGGACGAAAGCTCGAGAACTTACGAGCAGGTCCCCGCTGTGAGTTAGTTCCCCGCTGCAATCGCTATAGTATCTGCAATCCAACGAGGTGGGGATGCCCGAGAAAAGAATATCTTGATGTGCATTGAAGGGTTCATTCGATTGATTAGCATCCTGTGGCTCGTCGACATCGGGGTGTGAAGTGGTCGAGAGGCCGACGGGAATGGTAGACTGCTTCGACATAGATTTCTTCGCACCGAAGAGAACTTTCCATTTGAACGGCGGTTTGAGCCAGTTAGAGATGCCGCTGGGGCTGCGGCGTTGTTCACAGGCGCTCTGCGTGCTGAAAACCTCACGGTTGTGCAGGAACGTCCCTTTGCCGTCATGGTTCCCAGTGCCAGAATATAAGTTCTCTTTTCCGCTGTCGAAGCAATCCTGAGAGCTGCCGCTGGAGTCGCGAGAGCTGCTGCTGTCGGCAGAGGAATCGCGGTCAGTAGACGTGAAGGATGCGCGACCAGAGCTGTAGCCAGTGAACTCTTGGGCCAGCTCCCTAGGATCGTACCATGCATTAGCTGACGCAGGTCGAGGGTTTGGATTGTTGGGGTACGGAGTTGCAACTCCCTTGGAATTATACATTGGCTGAAACAATCGTGCAAATTTGGCTTGGGACATCGCCAAGTTTCCAAGTTCTACGGTGTCTACGTTGCCATGATTATCGGAGTTAACAGACGCTGAAGGCTCTGAAGATTGATGCAGCTCTTGCTGCGGCTGATGTTGCATATCCAAGGTCAGTTTCTTCACCATCTGAATCCGTGGAGGCAGGTGGAGTGGCAAGAGCTGTCCTCTGAAAAAAAGTTCATCGGCGGGAGAAATGCCTGAAGAGCAAAGGCGCTCCACCATCGCTGAGGAAGACGTTGACGTACAACTGAACTCAAACTCTCCCAACGACTCCTCGCTAGACAGCTGCTTCGACCCACTCTCGTCTTCCTGGTCAGGGCCTGCATGTACCTCATGGTCAAGTGTATCTGAGTCCTCGACAGTACTTAGTTGGCCGACGTCGAATCCAGCTTGAGCGCTGGAGTTTAAAGTCTCGCCCAGCGGCCACAGCATCGAAAATGGCATGTTTGACTCCCACTCTTCGCAACACGCAGCAACCGTCGTCCCTTCGGGCCGCCGTGGCTTTATCTGGGTAAAGTCTTCATACATCCATTGCTCGTCCATCCCGAGCCACCGTGCCACAACGCTTCTTCCCACACAAAAGTACTTCGTACCGACTTCAAAATCGCCTATTTTGTTTTAAGCCACTGCAACTAATTTGGTACTGTCAACGATGTCAGGACAAACCTGGAAAGGATAGCATATACTATCCTCAAAGTTTCACACCTTGGCGAGCTTCTTTGTCACCCTTAACTGCAAGAACAAACCCAAATAGCAGTTACGTGGATTCCTCGAATCAATCCCCGTTGCAGAAATTTGCTTAAATGATCAATAGAATAGGGTACATACCACAGCAATCCCTGTAAGATGAAACAGTATAAAATTTGCTCCCCTTTGAAGCAAACTGTAAGCGCGCACGGCCCTGAAACTCCAAACCTAGCGCTGATGATCCTGCGTTGAGGTTTACTGCAGCAACGCCAGTGTTAAAGATACACGCCCAACGTCAGTTCGTACCTCGACGCCGACCACATACACACGTTTCATTCTGTCTTGACTACCAGCTTTAAACTTTGCTGCAACTTCATAGCCGCAATATTCACAATTTCCTAAACAACATGTGACTCCGCAGCGGCAGCCTTGCTCGTATACCCATCCCACCTGCAAGCGACGAACGTTCAATTTTTTGCTCTTCTGTTTTCATTTTTCAGACCTCCCTCCTCACTCTCATCTTTTCCGTACATCCCCGTGCCGACAAGCGCGCTGCAGCCTCGCCATGACCCATATTCTCCGCCGACAAGCCCGTTCTCCCCATCACATCCCCCCCCCCTCGCGAGCAAACCAATCGGTATCCGCAACAAGGACGCCCGCGGTGGTAACACGAACCAAATCAAACCAACAACAACCTGAGCACACCCACCTGAAAGAGACCCTCCTTTTCTTACTACCCTGCAACTGGAGCTAAATCATGAGAAACAGACGAACCCAACGAACCACCGCAGTCTTGACAGCGAGTGATACGTCTCCGAGCCTTGTGCTTGCTATCGGGGCCATAATGATTTCCCCGTGGAAAGGCTGTACAAGCCATCTGACACCAGCTGAGCAGCCTAGCTCATTGTGACCCATTGCAGCCTGTGGACATTTACACTCGCTGCAACACTCATCACTAGCTCGTCTTTGCAATTCGATCATGCCCCCTCCTGCACCCGGCATCATGAGAAGACGCCGCGAGTCTGTTGCCCCCTCCCTTGAGTCACGCCGGAGGAAGTGTCCAGAAGGTGCTGCTACTGCAAGGGCCGGGGAAATAATTCAATGGGTTGGACCAATGGTGCGTGGATATTTATTGGGCTGTAGAAAAGGGGTCAGTGGGCACAGAAAAGCCTCTTGAAGCTCTCCACGACGACGACGACGCTCTTTGTCGTCTCTGTCATGGTTTATCGTCGTAGGAACGACGAGGCCCGTGCTTCAGTTGTCAGTTCTGGTGACTGAGACTGAACGAGATGGTTCATGAAGTCCGCGGTCGTCAGTCGACAAGCATGTCTGTCGTATTCTAGGGTTCTCGTCAACCTGATAAAGCTCTTGGATGAATGAAGCCATTCATCTGAAAATGGAGGATTCATTCATCCATCTCGATCCTCCGCCAGTGTTCCAGGCGCTTTCGGTTATCTGGTGGATGACGTGGATGGATGAATTCAGCCATGTATTGTCTCTCTTAATGTCATCCGTATGTGAATTCGGTTTTGTGTAAAGGAAATATTGGGGTATATTTTATACTGATTTGAACATTTATTTGTATTTTTCGAGTACCCATTTTGCTCATAACTGTGTAGAGATAGCTATAAATTTTTCATTTATTGTGAGTGTAAATGCATTTTGTTACATTTGTTGTAGAATTCAGGTCTGAAGGACAATTGTTTGTTGTTGAGCACAAATGTAGTTCATGAAATGTCTAGATAATTGCACTGTGGAAGCTTTTTAAAATTTTAAAATTTTAATTTTAGTGGGACCTGTAAAACTCTAATTTATATCTCTCTACTTTCAAAATATATATTGTGAGCAAAAAATGGACCTAATGTAATATTTTGCCTAATGAGAGGATTGATTCACATCACTTGTTTGTTTCCTTCTTCAAAATCATATATTATCCCTGTTATTAAAAATATTAGTATTACTTCTTGTGTATATTTGATTTATATTGACATAACTATTCGAATTACTAATCTTTAAACATATTAATTTTTTACAATCATGTTTAATTAAAAAATTATATATATATATATATATATATTGATTCATACAATTTATGTTTAAAGTAAACTCCAATAAATGGAAGAAACTGCTTAGTGGATACCTCTATTTTGTTGTGTGGACACCCCCATGCCATGCATCTCCACAAACACACAGTAAATTTCTTATTTATACCAAAATGATTTCAGGTAAGTTTATAGTTTTAAAGATTTCCTAGATGAATCCATTAAGATTTTTCAAGTAAATTAAAGAATTTCATGAAATGTATAATATTTTTTTGAAATTTTAATAAAAATAAAAAATAAAAAATACCATAAGCCTTTGCATACAAATCTTTGGTTATAAATTTATCCTAAATGTTTTAGTGTAAGAGTTTTACTATGTGTATGTGGGCTTGTGTGGCACAAGGAGTACCTACAATTAAAAAGGGGGAGGTGTTTACTTAGTGGTTCTTTAAATTAATATGATTTGTATATGTTTCAAACAATACAATAGAGATATTGGTATAACATAAATATAAAATATATATATATGTATATATATATATATAAATGTATAAATAGATATATATATATATATAGCACATAATTTAGTACAAAATACAAGTTGATGTCATAATTAGTAAAAGAAGTACAATATTTATTAGAGTTATCTATCATAATAACTATTTGTCATTTTATATGTATTTATAAATTTTCTTGTTCACAACTGATTACTTCAGTCTTTCAAAGTTAGAGAAGTCATTCCGTTATTTACAAACCATGCAACTGCTTCACAATTACTGAATAAAAATGAATAGCATTTCCTTGAACACTGCATTTGTTAATATGAAGTCTTAAAAGCAAAAAGTTTGTCACTAACTCATGGGACTTCGACAACCCCATTCCCGGAAAAACGAAGTAACATACAGAGCAACGTGCAGAAGGAGGAATTAGAGGTGATGGTTGAACAAGCCTACGAGGAGTACCACGAAAGTTGAACAAAATGAAGGTTGAAAACAACACATGCATTTAACTACAGACGAGTTTAGAAAACACACTAGAGGAAAATTGTGCAGGAAAATCATTCAGATCACAGAAAAGTGTATCGACATTACAACTTTCTCCATCTCTCGATATTAGTATCCATCGTTGCAAAGTAACGAAAGTTTTGCATGGGATGTGGTGGATGTCGTAAAACCATGGAGTCGCTGCAGACAGCACGATGATCCATGATTTATGCTCCATGCTGATGCAAACGAAATTAGACGTTGCTACGATTGGGTCTTCGCCTGAGCAAATGCTGGAGGGCCATGAAGCAGAAGTGTTATCAGTGAGAGCACCAATCCGGGAAGGAAGACTTGGAGAGCCCCTACACCACCACAATAGCCCCACTTCTGCAGCTACGCTGTATCGAGACAATCGTTCCTCTGTAGACGTCGCACCCGCAGAAGAGGTTGATCCAGCCAATTAACAACGTATCTCAGGACTCCAACGATGACTGCAGTGTGTTGATGTCTTGCTCTTCTAACCAAACTACCATTGCAAATTGAATCTACTATGTTTGAAATAGAAATATGCCTCTTAAACTCGTTCCTAGCCTAGACCTAAGAAGCCGCCACTATGGCAGCTAAAAAAAGACCCACAGCGGCCAATGTTTGGAGAGAGCCTCCCTCTTCCCTCACCACAAACATCTATGTCTTTCAAATACTCATTTTTGAAAATTTCTTTTTATACAAGTTTGTCATGAAATTATATCTAATTTCGAGCAGAATTTGTGTTCTACACAACTTTGATAAAACTCTTAATGAAACATCGATATCAATTATCTCTTCATCTGAAACTAGTACGTTGCATCGACTTGAATCCATGAACAACGAGCAAGTCACGCACGGTGAAGAATAACTCGGACTAAAGTACACACTGAGCTCCATGCTTCAACGCATAAATATGCACCGGTGCATTGCCATACTATAACACTTTGAAGAAAATTTATCGGCTGTGTGCACGTCGATGTTTCCAAGATCTCTGTATGCACCAACTCCGAATCGGTATTTGTCATTTATTGATTTGAATATTACATTGCAGGCTGTTCCAATCTTGCAGAACAGGTACCCAACTTCCACTCTGACCTTTTTACTTCATAAGTCCATCGTCCATGTTTCAGTGGAGATATAGACTTTGGGTAGTTGCTGTAGATTTTGAGAGCATCTCATTAACTGGCAACCAATTATCGGCTGTCCTTAAAATATTGGTAAACGTGGTGTAGGATTAAGGATTTGGGGTTTTAAAAAAAAACATAATTTTTTAAAGAGAAATAAGATAAGATTAAAGATTTATAAATTATCACAATATTTTGATGCAGGGAGCGCTTATGGATTTTTTATTTATATTATACTAGATATGAGTTGGGTGTCTATTCTACTAGAGCTACGTTGTTTGAGGATCTTGAGGTGAACTGGGTTTGGTGAGATGTACTCATTCTATTAGCCTCAATTACCATTATAGGGTGTTACGGTTCTAATGTGACTATAATGTTTTGTGAATATTATGTGTTAAAGAACATCTTAGATAAATACATTCATAAAAAAAGAAAATAATGAAATTATGAACATAGAATTTAATGGAAAATATATCAAATTATTAGGAGAAGAAGATTGATCATAATTTTAGGACATTGAATTAGGATATGAACAAAGAACCCAAGAGTTACAAAGTCTATCTATTTATTTATTTGTTTATTTATTTCCTTATTTTAATAAATAAAAATTTAGTATGAATAAAATAAAAGATAATAAAAAATCATGTATTACAAAAACATTAATTAATTATTTTATTTATTTATTTAATGCCTATGAAGGAACTAGTAGGGGATGTTAATAATTCTTTAATTTACCCTTTAACCATTGGTTTACTTAGAATTTCTTAAAAACATTTCCCCATACCATTCTCTTACTTTGACATCCACAATTGGATATACAATAATAAATCTTAGAAGATTCTTGATATTTTTATTGAAAAAATATCTTGCAGTGTAGTTTTAACATTTGAAAAATAATATATATATATATATATATATATATATATATATCAAAAAAATATAATAAATACGCATCACTTTTATTTTGATACGCCACAAAAAATTTGCCTAAAAAAAAATTTAAAATTCATCTATGATAAAATAGTTTTTGCCAATTAAAATATAAGTCTAAAAATACACAATCCTTTAGGAATTTGGGTCCTTTAGCAACTTTTCTCATTAAATACTAAGAAAAGAGCTTATTATTTTCTCATGTTTTGAAATGGCACAAGAAACTCAAAATTTTACAGATTTAAGTAACATTCTAACCATACGCTCATCAGCAATAACCTTTCTATTTTTACAAGTTATTATTTTTAATACATGCTTTGAATCATGTTTTGCTCAATATTTTTTATATGTGCATGCTCCTATTTCTTAAGATGTCTTCAATTTACTCTAAATTTCCCAAACAAAGTCTTAACATAGATATAAGCTAGTGTGTGCAAATTTGAGGCATATTTCACATAGTATTTTTCAAGTTATGAGAGTACTTATTTCCAACCTCACTGAAGCCAATTTACAGTAAGTTCTGTGCACCAACAGTTGCAGGCAATCAATGCCCAATGCAATCCGTAAATCACCATGCAGCATATCAAAAGTGAAAATCACAACTTCACTGAAGTAGTCATATACACGGTTACCGAGTGAACCCCACAGGTTCTGGGCAGTTATAAGAAGCACCACATCCGTGACTGTAGCAGAATCCTCTCGCTAACAGTCTCATCTCTAACCGCATGGAAGTTAGATCTATCGACAGCTGCGCGTGACTTGGTTTTCCCACCTTAAAGCTTTCCAATGATCTGAACAGTCGTCATTTTACATGACGACTGAAAGTTCTACCGCTGCAAAAATACTTTTCAGAGTACATACCTCCACGAGTCAGGTAACAATCCCAGAGTGAAAGGGTTACTGTGTCACATAGTATAACCCTTCGCTGAAGCCTGCAATTGAGCTGAGATAATTAATGCGCACCAAATTTACAATCTACGTTGTGGAGCCT